CCCCCCCCCCCCCACAACAAAAAAAAAAAAAGATACTTGTGAAAAATATTAAACCTAAAGACTTGACATGTGCTAAGTACAAAGGTACACTTTTGCACAACTACAAAATTATATAAAACCACCCACGAAGAGAAGTTAAATAAGAGTTGATACAGAGGTGCATGAAGTTGTAATAACCTGGTTTTCCTCCATTCAGAATAGCACTTTCGGCTGGTTCTACACCATACACCTGATTGTACACAAAAAGAAAGGCATCCAAGCACATAAAAGACAAGGATACATTCTCCCTCTCTCTCTCTCTCTCTCTCTCTCACACACACACACACTCATACTGGCATACATGCGCATAACACGCAAACCTGCAGACGACATATATATGAATACCAACCTTTAGGTTAGGATTTTTCTCCTTGAGGTACTTCCCTGCACCGGTCACTGTACCCCCTGTTCCTATCCCAGCAACCAGGGCATCAATTCTCCCCTCAGAGCCCTTCCATATTTCTGGTCCAGTGGTTTCATAGTGAATCTGTACACTGCAAAATATGAATGGAGCATTCCTACAAGCTATCAACAAGTAATATATGTGAAGAATACCTTTGGGTTGGCAGGATTCTCAAATTGCCGAAGGAAATAACCGTTGGGTGTCTTTTCCAGTATCTCTTGGGCTTTTTGAATAGCCCCATCAATGCTTTTGGCAGCATCTGTAATATACAACTCTGCTCCAAAAGCTCGGAGGAGAATCCTTCTTTCAAGGCTATATGTATGTGGCATAACTGTTATAAGTTTATAGCCCTTAGCTGCTGCAATGAATGCCAGACCAATGCCAGTATTTCCACCAGTAACCTCAATGAGGACCGTCTTCAGCACCATCAATTAAGCATATTCAAAATGAATAAACACCTTTCAGTTCAAAACACTTCAAAATCCATACTATTCAGATGAATAATGCCTTCTAACATCAATATCGGTTCCCTTTGAGACAGAGAACCTAATTTGATCATTAATGACACTGCACTATGTTCATGAAAATGATGCTAAACCTTGTTCAAGTATGTGGAAAAGGCGAATTATCATGCAATAATTTGCGATATGTAACTTGCAACTGTAATGAGAATAAAACGTTGTACATAAGAACCGGTACAAGTCTGATAAAAGGAATTTAACTAACCTTTCCAGGCATAATCAGACCCTTCTCTTCTGCGTCTCTTATCATACTATACCCAATCCTACACATCAGTGATTAGAAATGCACATGTTCATTAGCACAGTGAAAGAATTAAAGTGCATCTTTCCACAGTTGCTATATATCACATGTAAAAACCAGCATACCAGAGGTAAAGTTCTGAAAAAAAAAGATGAGCACCTGTCTTTCACACTTGAGCAAGGTTCCATCATCTCTAACTTGGCAGCGATACAGGCTACACAACCATCCACAATGTTATTGAGGTATACCATCGGGGTATTTCCTATTAGCTGTTCGTTTTGAAAACAAGAAAAATTCGGTGACTTGACATTAAAGATTACATGGAAGTTGAAGAAAAAAATCTTAAGACCAGAAGTTACTTCAGTAACATCTTTGGCAATTTCACACTTATCTTCCATAATCTTCTTCTCAGATTACTGCATGATGATTGGAAGATAAGAGCATCAGAAAACAAAAACAGCTAAGTAGGGGTAAAAACTTCGAGTCCAACCTGACATCCCATGGAAGAGATCCAACATCACAGTCACCATGAGATATGATAATAATAAAAAAATAGCACTAGGGTATTTCATGAGGCTTCATGATTTCATATGTAATAGCAAACAAACCCATGAGAAAGCTTCCGTAGTAGAGATTGCCTCAGATGAAATGCACATACAGAAACAAGAACAACGTGCTTTAATCCTAAAAAGCTTCCATATAAGCCTCTTACATAGGAGTCACAACAAAGGAGGTATCAACAAAAACTCCATATTGCTTTTTTTCTTTTTTTTTTTTTTTTGATAGAAAACAATAATATCATTAACCATAATAGATAAAATAAAATTACAAAAGAAAGTCGACGGTGGACAAGTAGTCCAAACCAAAGACAAATGAAAACAAAAATACCAAACAAAATGAAAGAAAAACAAAACAAAACTACGTCCCAGGTGAAGCTTTCCCAACTCAAAGCAATAAAAAAAAAGATGAATATTCTCAAACTCCTTTGACACAAAGGCCAAAATATGAAACCATTTCTCATATTTATCCTAAAAAATCCTTGCGTTCTTTCAATCCAAATAACCAAAAAAATAGCAAAAAACACAAGCCCAAAGAGTACTCCGCCTCTTATCAGTTGTTAACATGCAATTCAACGCAGATTTTATATCCGACAACAATAATATAAACCATACATCAAAACAGAATGTAATTTTTTTATTAAAATTAAATATATAAGATAGTGATAACACAAGAGGAAAAGGGGCGAAATATATGCTTAAGAGGAAAGCAGAAGCAACAGTTAAACAGAGGAAATTCCTCTAAAAACAAACCAGCTCACAACCCAACAAAAACATATCCCAAAAAAATGAAAATTATTTTGGAAGTTGGCCTCTCTCTTTGACAAAAGAACCAACTAACCAAAAGATGCTCTAGGAATTCGAAAACTTTCTACCTCCAACATAGAAAATCAGCCAAGGTCCAACATAAAGAGCAAATCACTATGTACCAAGGGATCGAGATCTCAACCAGTAGATATGAAGATTAGAATTGCATTCAAGCTGACCAATTTTGCAGTCCATACCAAAGCTTCTTTGAGGCCTTCCAGCTAACCAAAGATGACTTTTTAACTTCTTTTTTTCGTTTTTTTTTTTTTTTTTTTGGGGGGGGGGGGGGGGGGGGGGGGTTGGAATTTTTCACCAACCACTTTGGGAAAAGTGAGGATATCAGGATAGTATCTCCTACATGGGGACTCCTCCACTAGCAGGCTGCCCAGATCCCCATCAATTTAAAAAGAATATTCAGAATTTTAATCAACAGTCCTTTTCATACTTCCCCTGACAGAGCTCTACTTCCCTCAAGATACTGAGAAAACCAGAACCCAGTAGAAAGAGACAGAGAAGGACATAATACAGAAATAGTACAAAACTTTCATGAAGCAATTTGCTGAGGCAGGTCCTCAAACATAAAATTAAATAAGAAAATTATTACAAGATTAAAACAAAAACTTAAGAAATTTCTCATGACAGAATCAACCGTGACCAATATTTTATAATAAGCATACACTGGGAAACTGAAAAGTATTGTGCATATACATAAAGAAAACAGAAACAAATCTGAGAACTGGGTTTAAGATAAGATAGCTGATCAAAGATAAAACAAATCAAACGGACTAAAAATTAAGCAGCATGAATGTAAAATCATTAAAAGTATCAAACCAAAGTGCATACTATTGCAAAATACTCATTAATGTAAAGAATAGAAAAACTATCAGTATATATTTTCCTACAAATTGACATGGAATTAAGCTCAACAATCAATAAACAAAAAAAAAAACCCAAAATTTAAACACCCAATCTCACAACATCAAATTTCACAACCCACACCGTAAAATTAATATCAAGGTAAGGGAACTGGAGAACAGCATAAAGGAAGTCTTTACACTCTCACTACTAACCAAAATTATTCACTGCAAATATGATGCAGGAGCCTGTGGCTGTCATAGGCAGTTGATCAAACCAAATGGCAGCCTATTTCTCTTGGCTAGTTAATGTGCTGAAGACTAAATACCCATATTGACAAACACCTCAGCAAAAGAAACCTTTACAATAAAGTTACTGATAATGCGCAAAAATGATTTTGCACGCCACCTGTCAAGTGTAGATAATAATGCAATAAAATCAATGAAAAAAAATTAAGAAGACATAATCTATAGTGGTTCGGTCAATTCGACCTACGTCTACTCTTCAATGGCTTCAGTTGCCGGGTATTTTATTGACTCAAAGGTATGGAGAATGGAGATACAAGCTTTGAGAAAAAGAATGGAGAATCAAAGAAAATAGTAATCTCTGGTAGTCGGTTCGTCCTCTGTAAGTCTCTGGTGGAGCGTGATATTCATCCTCCTTTTTTCTACCAGATCGGAGCTATTTTATAGCAGCTAAGAGATCATTCTTGTGGAGATCATGACATATCCTCAAGGTTTCTTTATCGCAGCTAAGAGATTATTCTTGGTGGAGATCACGACTTATCCTCAACGGAAGGAGGAGGTTGGGGAGCTCTTCATGAAACGTGGTCAAAGATTGGACCGTTTCCTTCGGTGGTACAGATAAGCTTCCCGTGATCTCCTCTTGGTGACGTGCTAAGCAAGAAGTCTAACCGGCCTTGGACTGTCTTGGACTTGGTGGATTTGGACCGTTTCCTTTGGTGGTGCAGATAAGCTTCCCGTGCTCTCCTCTTGATGACGTGCTAAGCAAGAAGTCTAACCGGTCTTGGACTGTCTTGGGCTTGGTGGAATCAAAATGAGGNTACTATTAGACACAATCAAATGGAAAAATCCACAAAACAAAGCACATACAAATACTATGAATTACAATCTACATTGAAAAATGGAGAATTTGCTCTAATGACAGAAATTTCAAGTACCCAACTTAGCATGGAACCCAATAAAGAAATCTTTACTGAATAAATCATGGAAAAAGATCAAATAATGGAAGGAATACGTCAAAAACATCCCAATTCAAGAACCCCAATAAAGCAGTACCGCTTGAGTCAATATCAAGAACCCCAAAAAGATAGATAACATCTTCCTGGTCTCAGTTTGAAAACAGAACTTCACGAGTCAATATCACACGCATATGCGGTACACATGTCGTATGTACAAGGGTGGGTATGTGAAGATGTTATCTGTAAGGCTGAGTTTAACGACAAAGGGGAGAGAGAGAGATGGTGATGTCATTCTGAGGGGCAAGTTTTTTATTCACTCTTATCCTCTTCTGTGGTCCTTCCATAATTCCGTTAGTTTATTCAAGGAGAAATTTTGACAAAATAAGCGAGGGAAGGTGATAGAAATGTCAGATTTCAATTTCTATACTAATAAGATGGAGAGAAATTCAAATTTTCTAATTGAAATCAACTCTCTCAATTTAGAACAACGGCTAAGATTTAATTAAAATTTAAATAAACAGTTCAAATTTCATCTAAAACCCACCTAATTATATCCAATCACTCACAATCTATCCCACCCAAATTCATCCTCCCGCCTACTTTAACCACACACAGGCCACCCATAAGAAAAGCAAAACCCAGCTGACCCATCCCAGTATCTCTCTCTCTCTCACACACACATAGAGAACTCCTCCTCTGCCATGGCTAAACCAACATCAAAGATCTCCTCTCTTGCCCAGGTACACCTCTCTCTCGCTTTCTCTCTCTCACGACACACACGCAGTCAAAAACACACACAGCATCAAACCCACACACACCAGCACACACACACACACAACAACAACATCAAACCCACACGCACTAGCATATATTGAACCCACACACACAACAGCACACACATATCGCGCACACACACACACGCACCAGAAACACATCGCACACACACACATACACACTTAAATTGATTTGATGACTTTCGTTTTAATTTGAGTCTTCATTTTGGTTTGAAAATTTTGGTTTTTTTTTTCCAAATAAATTTAACAAAATTGAATGTTAAATTGTTCACACAAAAAGCACACACACCACACACATATTGCGCACACACCATACACACACCAGCAAACACATTGCGCGCGCGCACACACACACAAATTGATTTGATGATTTCGGTTTTAATTTGAATGTTTTTTTTTTCAAATAAATTTAACAAATTGAATGTTAAATTGTTTTGAAAATTGGTTTGGATGTTATAGTTTGGGTAGTTTGAATGTTCAATTTATTCGAATGTTATAGTTTTGGTGTTAATTGTGTTCATTTTTGTGTTAATTTGGTTTTTTTTTCAAATAAATTTAACAAATTGAATGTTATATTGTTTTGAATGTTCAATTGGTTTAAATGTTATAGTTTGGATTTTTCGAATGCTCAATTGGTTTGAATGTTATAGTTTTGGTGTTAATTTTGGTGTTTTGAATGTTATATTTGTTTTCAAATAAGTTTGTTAAATTTTGAAGTAGCAATAGCTTATAAGAGATGTTTGATAAAGATCTATACATAACTTTTTCTTTGGTCACCTCTAAGAAGAATTGAAACATAGAGCACATGTCTAATGTAAATTCTTATTAAATTAAGATTTCATGTGTGTGTGTGAGAGAGAGACAAGTCTCATTAAATCACATTTTCGGGCTCTGTATAAGTGGGTTCTTTCATAATTCCTTTCACTTGATTTTGGTCCACTATAGAATTTTTTTTAAGTGAAGTTTTTAATCTATTTTAGTATATGACTGCTACACTAAATGAGGAGGGAGAGAGAGAGAAAGAGAGAGATAACACTCAATTTTTTTAGTCAATTATTTATTTTTCAAAACTAAAAGTTTGTAAAACATTTTTTTAGCTTGGTTCATAAACAATTTTATATCAATTTTTCACTTTAACGTTGGGTGTTAATTTGAATGTTTTTTCGAACAGGTTTGATAAGTTTTGTTATAGCTTTAATATTATAGTTTGGGTGTTTCCGAGGAGAAAGAAAAAGTTACCTCTTCTAATAAAGGAACAAAAAGTACAGTTTGTCAATTGGTATGATTTTTCATCGTATTTTTTCTCTAAGGTTTTATGTGTATAAAGATGTTTATGAATTTTTTTTAGCTGCAGTTTAGTGCAAATAATGCAGCTTTTGTGTCAATTTTGAGTCCTTAATGATGTTAACTCCATTTACATGACATTTTTTGGAGCTTTTGTGCGTGTTTGATCCTAATGATAGATTGTATACAAGGTTGGATCCAAATGATTGTATAGATTGAAACTGCGAGAGTCAACATGCTTAATGTAGACACCTACAAACATTATGAGTTGTAGACACAGGGTAATATTGCCAATTGGATCAGTTTTCAAAAGGAAGCTTTGTCAAAATTGTTTTAAAGATAACAACTTGTGTGTATCAATTCAATCGGTCCTTATTGTTGAATGTGGTTGGATATTTATTTGTAAACATTTTAACAATTTTTTCTCATTTTGTTTGATTTTTTGTTGCATAATGTGGTCCAATAATAAATCATCATGAGTGCAGGTCATATGATTATTTGTAAAAATCCATTATTTTAATTTATGACTATACAAAGTAGTTTATCTTATTATAATTATGAAGTTAGACAGGATATTTGGTAAACAATTATAGATTTAAACATATTAAGAGAAGAGATACGTTTAAGCAACAAATTTATAACATAATAGTGTTCGAATTGTTTACAGTAGCTTACATTAATTATCTCTCTCTCTCTCTCTCTCTCTCTCTCACTCACTCTCTCTCTCTCTCTCTCTATATATATATATATATATAAGAGATACGTTTAATAATTATTTTCTAATTATTTTTTGTTTTAGGCACCAAGCAATAGTGTTATATCAAAAGCTACCTTGATACAATGTGTAAGTCTTGAGCTAGAAATGCGTTATGTCAGGAAAGAAAATGCGTGCTCCAAAGGTCAATTAGGACAACGTGCATGTCAAGAATGAGAGAGATCAAGACAATGTGCCCCTGTTCAGCCTAGATTTTTCCCTTCTTTACCACGGAGCCGTCATCGCCTAGCATGCCTAGGACGAGAATCAAATAAATGGTCCAACATTTAATCGATGACTTCGCCTATGGAACTACCCCATCCTATATTAGAAAGTATAGTGACTACAATTGACTTGGATTCATCGTCCACCACCATGCTCCAAACTCTTGATGAAGACACCATAACAAATGGTCCAGGGTTGTTGTCTGTACCCATCACGATTCAAGAATATCCTCTTCCAGATCTAATCGAAGGCACACCAATTCGCACACATGTCTTAAAATCATGGTTGACCACCATGCACCAACATCTTGATGAATACACCACAACGAATGTTTCAGAATTGTTGTTAGTGCCCATCATCTTTCAAGAAGATCTTCCTCAAAACCTGATCGAAGGCATACCAACACGAACAAATGTCTTAAAGTCATTGTTGACCACCATGCTCCAAAATCTTGATCAAGACACCACAATAAATGTTTTAGGGCTATTATCTATGCCCATCATGATTCTAAAAGATCCTCCTCAAAACATAATCGAAGGAACACCAACACGATTGCAACCATTCTCTCGGTGTTCCATGGAAATACCTGTTGTTGGGCCATGAAATGTCTCAGGAGTGTTGTCTGTGACTACAATGCTCCTATAATTTCCTCCTCAAAACCTTGATGGAAGCACAACAACACCCTTGAAACCACTTTCCTTGCGTTCCTCAGGGCCATCGTATGTGATAAAAATGTTTTAACAAATTTGTAATCCGAATGAAGGCAACAGGTGTTTGTTATAATTTATAATGTCTTGTTCTCGCTATTGCTATCTTATTCATGTTGTTCTTTTAAGTTTGTATTCAATTTATACAAACCAATTGTATGACATCTAAATTTGATATGTAGTGCATACTTAGTAGAAGAAGGTGCATCTTTGAGTGCTGCACTTGATCCTCAAGAACATGAAATTCTAGATCGTCATTTCCTCGGCTTGATAAATCGAACATATACTCATTGTTTTACCTTACACTGGCTTGTTGAAAAATTAGCATATTCATCTGTATCAAATCTTTTATTTGGTAAATGTTGTTTGAAAGGAAAAATTAGGCTACTTCCACT